GACAAGGGAATGATTAGCCTCGGCTAATGGCATCCGAATGGATGACCGGGATAAAGGAATGATTAGCCTCGGCTAATGGCATCCGAATGGATGACCGGGATAAAGGAATGATTAGCCTCGGCTAATGGCATCCGAATGGATGACCGGGACAAGGGAATGATTAGCCTCGGCTAATGGCATCCAAATGGATGACCGGGATAAAGGAATGATTAGCCTCGGCTAATGGCATCCGAATGGATGATCGGGATAAGGGAATGATTAGCCTCAGCTAATGGCATCCGAAAGGATGATCGGGACAAGTGATTAATTAGCGTCGGCTAAAGGCATCCGAAGTGGATGATCGAGGTAAGTGAATGGTTAATCTCAACAAATGATACCTTGAGAGGATTGCTGAGTTTAAGATTTTGGTTGATTACAAGAATTGGTGCATCTATATGTACTGTAAATTGTGTATACTATGTACATGAAGAAACTACAAATATCATGCATCAACCATGGAATAATGTTAATGTTTCATTTTTCCTGCTAGAACATTTAATTATCATTATTACTAATAAGCAATTGCATTCTCTTAAATGTTTTGCACTACAACAGGGACATCACATCAACGAGATGCCTAGGAAACCCGATACATGGGAACCTACTTTTGCAAGGAATCATGTAGTTGCATCCTAAATCACGATGTATTTTGTATGGACCAATGTATTAAACATATAACTTTTATTGAACCCTTTTGTTTAAATTCATGGTGAATATTAGTAGGATAGGAATGCAAACTCATGTCTATGGATGTAATATTATAATATGAACTTCTAAGCATGCAAACATAATATTATGTGTTTATGTAAATTTCCCTTTTAAATGAAATGTTGAATGTTGTTGATGTATGGATTGCATTTTGATGATGTGAGGAAAATAGGTTCGCAATTTACTGACACGATGTGTGTCAAAGAAAAAAAAAATTATGTTGTTTTGGGGCTTGAAAAGTCGGGTTGTTACATTGGCGCTGTTGCTGGGGAGGTAAATTCTTATATAATTTATAGTATTTATATTATTTTCTCTTTTCACTTTTCTTGTATCTAGTTTTGTTTCTTTTCTTTTATTTCTTTTACTTTTGTTTTCTTCTTCTTGTTAGTCTATTCCTACATGTGCATGAGAGTTTGGTCATGTACATTAAGTGGTAGACTTTGTAGGGTATCCTCATCATTTTCAGAAAATATGGCCGAAGAAGATAACTAGTCGCTTTATAATGAGAATAATAAGAATTATCAAGTCAAAACACTTAGAGATCACATAAATCCCATAAGAACAAGTGCATCCTCATGCATAGTTTTCTTCCGTGATGCATCTCATTTTAATTTTAAGCCAGACATTATTAAACTTTTACCTTCTCTTCATGGCGTAGATTTAGA